TTTTCCTAATCTCCTTAGGGTCCCTACTGTAGCTCTATATATACATCATTAAGCTCATGAGAAGAGAATAGAATTCATTCTCACGTGAAACACGCCTCTCTCTCTAGATCTCATTCGAGCTTTATCTTCTTCTTGTTGCTCCACTGGTACAAGTTGAAGAAGGGTGTATTGAGTAATACAGTAGAAGATCTGTAGGTAAACCGAGACGAAATTGATTTTGACCTACAGAACTAACCGGATGTCCGATTGAGACGTACAGTATACCCAGACGACCGTCTCGACGAGAGCTTTCCATCGCCGCCGACGTCGCCGGAATCCGACGCCGCACGCGCCCTCACGCGCCGCCGGAAGGAGTCTGGCAGCAAAATTTCGTTTTGATCTGTTTGCATCCGTTTGATCCAGTTTTGATCTGATCTTGTTCGTGCAACCCAAGACGCGTGTTGCGGTCAATCAATTGCGGTCAACCGTTCGTGGTCAACCAGATCTACATAAATTTTAAGCCGTAAGTTCTCTACGTCAAACCTTTAGATCCGCTGCGCATAGGTTTACGTTTGCTATTGAATTCGTGATTTGTACATAACGAGATCCTCACAGATCCCAACAAAAAGTACATTTTTGTCAAATATATTATTATTAGAATAAATAAATAAGTAATATTAAATAGTATTTATCGTATTTGATTATATTAGTTGTAGCCTAACAAATAAAACGACAGTAATTCAATGAGAAAAGAAAAAAGTTTGAATTTTCTTAGAGAAATATGAATACCAATATCTAGAAACAAAAGTCTTTTAAAATTACAACATTTTTTTGTTAGTGTCTAAATATATGAACTTTGTAAGAAATTTGTTTTCAAAAATAATGATCCTATATTATCAAGAATTTTAAATAATTTAAAAAATAAAAACTTTGTAATACATAACGTGAATTTTAATAATAACTTGGTAATAATAAAGTTCACAGAGCGGCTAAAAGTATCATAATATAATAGAATTCTAATTATTCTCTTCCCAAATATTTTAACAAATGATTTTTATTTTTTTTTTGTATTAAAAAAAATCTTTATCTTGAACTTTCGAAGCATTATGTATAATGCGAAAAAATTGGACAATAAAATCATTAAAGAAGTTATTAAACACATAAGTACTGCAAATTCGAACAAATGTGAAAGATATTATATATGATAAACAACGCTAAAATCATTGCACCAACCAAGAATCAATGATTTACAAACAATATATTATATAGTTCGTTTGTATTCTAAATAAATAACATTGAAAAGAAAATGTCGAAGTCTGATCAAAACATTCTTGACTATTTGAATGAAATTGTCCCCTTTTTATAGGAATATTTACAATCTCATTGTGTATTTTTCTCGAACATATGTGCAATTATTTTACAGTACGTACTTCATGTAATGTGATGATTTCAAAAAGTAATTTAGCGTCTCGAGAGAAATACATGTAACCAAAATTTTGGAAAGTCAACTTTTATTTGGAGATGAAATTCATTTCCACCCCATGGGGCAATGCCTCCATGGGGTAGGTATGGACATAGTAATGAAGTTATTTATACAATGATAAAAAATATCAACACTATAATGATACGGTTGGTTATTTTACAAATATATTCATGAACTGTTAGTAGAAATACGTTATAAATGTCTTACAATCATGAAATTTGACTATACGTGTGGCCAATATATTTATAAGTGTTTGAATAAAGTAGACGTTTTGCCAAATGAATTAAGACAAATTTGCAGTACTATTGATGTATTTGGCTCCAATAAGTATGAATGTTTCTTATGAAAACGTCAAAACGAAAATGAAAGAAAATCACTCTCTAATTATCTAACATAATTAAATAAAATAACTAATGCATCTATAATATACATTAGGTTCTTAATTAGTTATTTAGTGTTTTTTTCATTTTGTCCATTGCAAATGGAGCTGGAAGAGTCATTGTTGACAGTTCTCCTGACATAGTGCTAATAATGGATTAGATCAAAATGGCTCAATTAAATTCTAGTGCTTCTTCTATTAGTGAAGTTTCTAGAAAAAAAAATATATCAAACGGCGCAATGCACCTTGGGTCGCTACGGAAACAGCCTCCTTGTACAACTGACCCCCCCGACCCCAACCTATTGGGAATATACTGGGTATGTTGTTGTTGGTGTTGTTGTTGAGTGTTTTTTTCCATTAGGGACTGTATTTTTCTTGGGGTTGTAATATGTTATTTAATAAATTAATTAATTAATTTAATAAATTTGATCGGTAAAAAACATTCACCACCACGTGCGATGCGCGTACACTTGTAAAATTGTAAAGTTTCGATAACTATCATATTTTGTTTGGTCGTAATACCACGTTTATATTATATCTTTAATAAAGTTATGACTTAAATTCTCATGAAGTTTGACTATATGTTTGGCTAAAATATTTGTAAGTATTGAATAAAGTAGACGTTTCGCCAAATTAATTAAAAAGAATTTTGCAATATTATTGATGTATTGAGCTCCAACGAGTATGAATGTTTGTTATGAGAACGTCAAAATCAAAATCAAAGAAAACCACTCTTGAATGTAACATAAATAAATAAAAGAAAACATGCATCTATGATATACATTAGATCTATATTTAATTATTTAATGATTTTTTATTAGAGACCATTTTTCATGTATTTTTGTTGGGGTTGTAACATGTTATTTTTATTTTTTTACAAAAAATACATTAAGAGCTTATTTGTGCTACATTTCATTTTGTTCCTGCAATGATATGTTTAATAAATTAATTAATTTATCTTATTATATAATTGGCAAAAAACATTTGTTACCACGTGCATCGCACGTGCACTTTACTAGTCTATAAAAATCCTCAACTTTCTTTCGTAAGAATACTTCTGCAAAAATTCAAAATTCTATCTGTCAAACATTGATTGGAATTTCTGTTAACCATTCCTCTAGATACCTAGGGCTGTCCGTAGGAATTGGGAAATCCAAAGTTGAGACCTTCAATTTCATCTAGATGGTTGTGGAAAAAAAATTCAAATTGAAAAAATAAGTTTTTATCCTTTGCAGGCAAAGTACTCCTCAAATATGTTCTAACTGCAATGCTAATCCATGAAATGTCATATTTTCTTCGCCCTAGAGGTGTTACATCGAAGCTCACTCAATCTTTTGACTCATTCTGGTGGAACAAAAGTAACAACAGCTCAAAGCCTATCCACTGGAAAGCTTGGAAGCATTTGGCTCTTCTTAAAGACAAGGGCGGACTAGGTTTTCTTTATCCTGAGCTCATGAATCAAGCTCCGATGCTAAGCAATTATGGAGGCTGCTCACAAATCCTAACTCTTTAGCTCAAAATATTTTCCTAAAAAAACCTCTTCTCAGCCACAAAATCAAGCTCAGGCTCCTGGATGTGTAACAACTGGCTCCAGGTCAGAGATGCTTTCAATGGTAAAGCAAGTTTTGTAATCAAGGATGGAGGTTCGTGAAGATTTAGGATCATTCATGGATCCCTGGTGTGCTACATTTGAAGTATTAACGAAGACCCTGGCAAGTTACCAATCTCATCTGATTGAGGAGCTCCTTGACACCTCGAGTCTGTTTTGGAACTCACCCCTAGTGAAAAGAATTTTCACTAACAGAGGCAGTAAGGCTATTCTCAGTATCTCTTATAGGCTAATCTGAGACTGTGGCACTAATGGTGAATTAACATAACTTCTTATGCCAGGTTGATGTTCTAGAAAAGGCAGAGACTAGATATTTCAGAAAGCAGCAGCAATCATCACTTATCTTTAGTGAGGAAACCAGAAAATCAAAAGAAAAATTACGCACTTTCTGTGAAGTTGCCTCAGCAATATTCTTCCAGTTAATTACCAATCTAGTCAAGAGAGGTATCACTTTGGATACCACTGATAAAATATGTGGAGAGGGACTCGAAAATCAAGAGCACTTGCTCTTCAAGTGTCCTCGAGCCAGGAAGATTTAGAAGCTAGCACCTATTAGTTGGGATGGCCTAGAATCAGAATCACAAACTTTCAAAGGCTGGTGGTCCAAAGCCTGCTGTATCAGCAAGTCTACAACCTCAAATCTAAGACTCCAGCTAACCTCTTATTTACTGTGGTGGATTTGGAAATGCCGGAATCTTTCGGTCTTCTAAGAGATTTGGAGACATGAAAGAGAATTATTGGATCTTGCTTGGAAAGATTGGATTGAATTTTCCTCCTTAAGGCCTCAGTAGACTGTCTGTTTTGGCTTGTTTTTTGGATTGGTTTGTTTTGTTATTTTGCTGGCATGGCAGTTTTGATTGACTTTCTACTTGTTTTCTTTCTGTTTTAGTTGTGTTTCTGGGTTTTGAGGGGGTCCTGCTAGGTTCATTAGTTCAGTGGCAACACTCTTTTTACTGTGCTTTCTCGGCTGAGTTAGCCCCTAAAATCGAGGAAAAAGGCCAAAAATGGCATGATAGATACTCGGCTTCTTAGCCTTGTCTTTGTGTTCCCTTCCTTGTTAGTTCTTTACTGTTAGTTTAGGACACCTCGAGTGCTCCTCCCTGTCTTCTTTGTAAAAGTTCTTTTGGCTAGTTGGTCATCTTGATTGTACATTTTCTGAGTAATATAATATCTTTCGTTTTGACAAAAACAAAAAACAAAAATGTAGATAGGTTGTACCTTCCAGTGTACAACTCCTCATTCAGGAAGATGCAGGCGAGTATAGCAACAATAATGGTACAAAGAGGATTGAACATAGCTGAGAAGACGGGTCCTCTTTTGGCGATGCACCACGTTTGAGCAAAGAAAGTGATTGCTGCAGTTAAGCCCTATACATATTTGGAATATTCCCGTTTAAGAAATCAAAGTGTTGACACAAAAATATTAAGGTCGATTAGTATTGACAGAAAACGTAAAAATAGAAAGAAAAAAAAAAAAAATGCTTACTGCACAGAAGCAGCAAATTAGTTGAAAGCGGGTAGTCGATAACCATGAAATCGCCCTCGGTTCAACTATCACTGTTACGATTCCAGACTGTGCAGCCGATAAGAAGCACAGCCACGCCGTTAACGAGAGATGGTCGGGATACAAAGCACTAACATTCACCTGTCATGTCGATTAAAAAAATTAAAACAAAAATATTAATTGTTCCTTGTCTGCTTCTCAATGATAATATATATTAATACAAAATATAGAAAGCAACTTGAGCAAATTAATAAATAACATTAGTTATTTAATACAATATATATATATACCTGTAAAATAAGCCAGAGTGACCAGCAACAGCAATTCCCAAAGAGAAATAGACAGCCTAGCAGCCACGTGTCATGTCCACTTGAATTTGATGATCCAAGTCCAGAAAAGTGATATGTAATTGAATTTGTTGGCATAATTTCCATGTTAAGCAACTTTGGACCTTTAAAGACTGCCATTGCAACTGCACCACTCACACAAACTGTTGTTCCACTTATTTTAGCTATGCTTCCCCATCTTCTCACATTCACTTTCTCCAACCTGCACTTAAAATCACACAATTGCTCAAAATCTCAAA